CAGCTGTCCTGGAACTCGCTATGTAGACCAGGCTGGACTTGAACTCACAGAGATCTGCCTGCCTCTGCCTCCCCAGTGCTAGGATTAAAGGTGTGAGCTACCACGCCTGGCAACACCTTATATCTTAAGACAGAGCCTCTTACTAAAACCCAGAGCCCACCTATTTGACTAGTCTAGCTAGTCAGTTTGCTCCAGGGATCCCATCGTTGCCTCTACAGTTCTGGGATTGCTGGCAGCCTGCCATCCCCGCCCAGCATTTGCATAGGTACTAGGGATCTGAACTCTGGTCCTCATGCTTATGTGGCAAGTGATTTATCCACTGAACCATCTCTCCAGCCCCACCCTCCTTTCTAGAAAGAAGTTAAGATGGCAAGATGGCTCAGCAGGAAAAGGCACTTGCTGCCAAACCTAACAACCTGAGTTGGATCCTTAGGACCCATATGATGAAAGGAGAGAACAGACCCTGGAAAGTTGTCCTCTGATCGCTACACCCCGACTCTTACCCCTCACCCCACCCACTAAATGTAATTTTTAAAATTTAAAAATAAAGCCAGGTATGGTGGTGCACATCTTTAATCCCAGCACTTGGGAGGCAGAGGCAGGTGGAGCTCTGTTAGTTTGAAGCCAGCCTGGTCTACACAGTGAGTTCCAGAACAGCTGGGACTACAGGAAGACCCTGTCTCAAAAAGACCAAAAAAAAAAAAAATTTAAAAATAAGTTAATTTGGGGCTGGAGAGATGGCTCGGTGGTTAAGAGCACTGACTGCTCTTGCAGAGGACCCGGGTTCAATTCTCAGCACCCATATGGATGCTAACAACTGTCTGTAACTCCGGTTCCAGGGGATCCAGGACCTTTTTCTGACCTCTGTGGGCATTGCATGACATGGGTGCACTTACACACATGCAGGCAATACACTCATACACATAAAAATAAAATATTTTTTAAAAGTTAATTTTATTTTTATCATTATTTTCGACTTATTTATTTATTGACAGCGTCTGGCTATGTGCCCAAGCTGGCTATATGTCCCAGCCTGGTCTTGAACTTGCAGATTTCCCTGCTTAACCTCCAGAGTGCTGAGATTATAGACATGTGCGGCCTTTTTTGGCTTTAAAATTATTTACTTATTTAATCTTATTTTTTAAGACAGGGTCTCATGTCTTAAACAGGCCAAGAAACTAAGGATGACCATGACCTTCCCCTGGCCTCCTCAAGCACCAGAAATATACCTGGTACCCACACATACATGTTAGCAAACATTCATAAAATAAAAGTAAACAAGGGGCTGGAGACATGGCTCAGCCGGTAAGAGCACTGGCTGTTCTTGTAGAGGACCTGGGTTAGTTCCCAGCACCCACTTGGTGGCTAACAATTGTCCAGAACTCCATTTCCAGAGGATCTGATGCCCTCTTCTGGCCTCTGTGGACACTGAACACATGTGGTAGAACTTACATATATGTAGGCAAAGCATTCATACACATAAAAATATTTTAAAAAACTTAAAAATCTAGTATTCTCAATTGGGACAGTGACCCTCAGTTGATACAGCGCTTGTCTAACATGCATGAGGTCCTGGGCTCAATCTCCAGCACTGTATATTGGATGGCCTATAGTTCTAACACTGGGAGGTAGAGGCAGAAGGATCCGAAATTCAAAGTCATCCTTGGCTACATATGGAGTTCAAAGCCAGCTTGAACTGTATAGATCTTACCTAAAAGCAAAGCAACATTTAGCTTTCTTATGACATCTAATTTTGACTAGATCTATTACAGATCCTCTGTCAATGGGAGTGTAAACTTTTCACCCACCTCAGATGGTTTAATAAGGACATTGTCGCTCTGCCAACACCAAAGCACTAACTACGAATGTATTAAGTATGGTATTTGTTACTTTTTTTCTGTGACAAAATCCCTAACAAAAGCATCTTGAGGAAGGAAGAGTTTTATTTTGTTTTGGTTTTATTTTTTAATATTTTATTATTATTTTATGAGTGTGTTGCCTGCATATATGTAAGTGCATCCGTGTCGTGCAATGCCCGTGGAGGTCAGAAGAAAGCGTTGGATCCCCAGAATTGGAGTTATGGGTGGTTGTTAGCCATCATGTGGGTGCTGAGAACTGAGCTTTGGTTCTCTGAGTTTTCTCTCTAAGCCCCCTTGTTTTGGTTCTGGATTATGGTTTGAAGATACCATCCATAATGACAGGGAAGGCATGGTGGCAGGAGCTTGAGGCATCTTGCCACATGGCATCCACAGCCAGGAAGTGGCGAGAGATGAATGCTGGTGCTCAGCTCACTTTCCTCTTTTCACGTCCCTATCCCATGGCAGGTGCTGTCAGCATGGAGGGTGCATCTTCCCTCCTCAGCTAAACACCCAGAGGTGTGCTTCCACAGCAAGTCTGAACTCAGTCCAGCTGATGATGGGGATTAACCAGCAGTACCTTAGGAACCACTTGGTTCCTTACTGCTGTGTAGAGACTGTGCATAAAAAGCTTATAGATTTTC